GAACATCTTCACTTGAAAGAAGCAACTTGGTGCTTTACATTTCAGGAGAGCAGGCTGTAATAAACCTAATCAATCTGAAAAGTGGTATGAAACACCACTAAATGTATGAAAGATTTTCATACAGAAGGAAGGCGAGCTGTGTACAAAAATACATCTATCTTACATTCTCTCTGCCCTCAGTCTTCCTCCTGTACTGCAACTTTTTTTTTTAACAAACATCTGAGAAACACAACAAACAGATGCCTTTCAAAAACAGTCACTAACTTTCATCACAAACTTTCATGCTTTTGCATCACTACATAAAAATTGGAGGTTCACCACCACACAGCAGTAATGATATGAGACAAACAAATTCTGGCTCCTATTTTATTTAGGAGTACCTTCTGAAATACCATACATTAGCTTTCTAGAACTCTATTTTAAACATCACTTTTGAGAACAGTGTCTTCATTAACTATTAACCAGCACTTAATTAACCACTGAGTCTAGAAACAGATGTGAAAATTTCCTTCTCCCTGGCTATTTAGAGTCCCACCCATTCCCACTTGAGTATCATGCACAGATCTAGTTCAGAGCGTTCAAGGTTATCAGATCTCGCACCCACTGTCCTGTGACTTCTCAGAAAAAGCTAGTTTACTTCAAGACTCAGACAAACATCAGGTTAGAGTCTGGAAGATAAAAGTGTTTTAAGGCTCTAAAATGACGCTATCATATCTGTGTTATATCATATGTATCACATCTCCATCACATCGTAGGGAAATGATAAGATGGGATGAAGCTCTGGACTGCTGAGGACCACAAACTTTGTATCAGTAGACATTGCCAACCCAATTTTAGAGAGGTGACAACTAAGAATAGGAGAATTTGGGTCGTTTTAGACACTTCTACGAACAAATACAATGTACTGAACCTTCTGAACATCCATCCAGCAGCAGGTAAACCAAGGTCTGAGGAGGGTTACAGCAGAATGAATATAATTTCTGCCTGATAGGCAATACCATCTCTACCTACTCATTTGGGGGAGAGTAAGGAGGGGGCCAAAAACCCCCCAACAAAACAAAGAGAAGCTTTTGTGCAGGAAGTCAAACACAGTAGTAAAAAGTGTTGTTTTTTTTTTTTAAATACACAAACTCTTAATCTAACCAGACTTGAGGAAATCTAATCATGGCTGTTATGGACATTTCCAAATCAGAACTTTAGTGGAAAGAGAACTCCATCCAGAATTGAAGTTGGAAACATATTTAGCTCATTAAATTAGTGAAATCCTTACTTAACACCACAGACTATTACTTTCCACTAGACATAAAAGTTGGTCTTGAGGTGGGACTTTCAATCCATTCAAAGGTGAGAAGATCAGATACATGTTACACCAGAACTTACCTAAGAAGGCAGGAAATAAGCTGCTACAGAAGGGAACAGATCCTCCTCCAGGAAAGCAACCACATTTGCTTTCAACCAGGAATCCAGAGTCACCCTTTACTGGAGATGGCAGGCTCCTGGTTGGAAGAGATTAGTAATGGAGGCACACTGAGTAGGGAGAAGTAGCTTCATATACTATACCAGTTAATACATGGGGCCACATTCATTGTTTTGTCAAAAGAATTAAAAGCTAATTATGGTACATGCAATAGAAAGACAGCTGATCTTGATACACATTCTCTCCAAACAACAAATGCTTACAGACTCTGCTGACAACGAACAAGTGAAGATAACCCAGGAGCTCTGTGTCTGAGCACAAAAAAACTGGGAAGCTGCACTTGCTGCAGCTGAGATGCTACAGCCTAACCAATAGGATGTCGAATACAAAGCAAGAGCCAGGAGTTAACCCAAGAACCAAAAAATTAGAGGGAAGAATGTTCTGTTATAATGACCCAATTTTCAGTGTCTCCGCTTTTGGTCATTTCCTTTCTGTTTTGATCCGTCAGACAGCTGTCCTCAGAAAGAAAGAACAACTTCTGTACCTCTGAAGTATCTGAAACAGGCACTCGCAGCTGTTACAGACAGGTGGTGACAAGCATCATTCTTGAAGTCTTTAGATTAGACAGAGCAGGAATTTGCAAGGCCAGTTTAAGAAGATAAGATGCATGTCCTCTTTGAAAGTTATGACCCGGGCCATCATTTGGAATTACAACTGTGTGTTTCCTTGTATTGTTGCAGTTTAGAGACATTAAAGTGTATCTTTTCTTTGTACTCAATGGACTTGGGTTTGTGTTAGTGACAGAAAAAGACCCCTCCTCCCCAAATCTTCCTGCGCCTCTCACCTCACTTCTGCTAAGATACAGGAGAACAACTCTGTGGTTTGCTGCTCCTAGGACAAGCCCACCTTCCTGAAAGGCATAAAACTGAAAGGCTTCCAAACGCTAATAAGTGAACTATCTGTAGATCATACGTGAGAAAGCTTTCAGTTGTGCTGCTAGCATCTGTGGGTAAGCAGAGCTGGGAACTGGATTTTTGTAAAGAGACAGAAAGAACATGGTCTAGTGCTACACTGAAGCATGTAAAAACTTAGCCAGCACAGAGATCTCCTTTTGGCTCAGCACATGGGAAAAGCCCGAGGGAAAACAAGGCATGAACGCGTGCACCTAACGCAAATGAGAAATTGCAATCTTCATTTGGGTGTTGAGGATGTGTTGCAATAGGGCAGGAGGTGAACCAGATTGGGCATACATACAGAATAAGCTCTAACTGGCACAGAGCTGGGTGTATCTACACAAGCCAAGGTTTTGGGGGTTTTTTTTAAAGTCTCAGCATACCATATAGCATTTTCTTCACTATAGAAGAAAATCATCTAAGTCTTTGCAGAAGTGCACTGAATTGTACAAATATCAAATGGGCTCCGTTCTTCAACTTTCCAGAGGTTGTCCCCTCAGTTGTGTCACAGAGAATCCCATCACAGACCGCGCTGTAGGGCTTACTCATGTTTGAGTGTCAGACTTGTCCAGGATTCCCGTTCCACAGGAGCGCTCCTGGTGGCGGCTGCTAGAACGCAAGTAAGGACTTAGCAAGGAGCGAGGTGGCGGGGGAGGAGTTGTTCCAACTGAGCAATGCAAGGCAAGCAGCAGGCGCTGGATCTCGGCAAATATGGCTTCTGGGAGCTACAATCAGTAACTCCAGCTGGGCCATTTGCTTAGGCTTCCTGCCAAAAGATTTATAAAAAGAACAGTAAAGAATGTGCAATGGCTTTAAATACGAATTTCAAATACAGTGCAGCCAATATCCACATTTGTTGAGGCTTCCATCCCTCAGCTTTTCTCTAAGGCTCAGCAAGGAATGCAAGGAGTTTCTCCTACTGATCTAATTTTATCCTCTCGGAGAGATGCACCAGCATGAAGGAATGAATTAGAGCTAGTGCAGTTTCCTAATTACTTCCAGCTCTCAGAGAGAGACCCAAAAGATACTAGGGAGGCAAGCATAATATAGCAAAGCTGACAAACCAGCCTTTAATTTGTGTATTGCTATACATGGAGGTCTTATGATAATTTACTAATAGGTGATCCCAGCCTTTACTCAAACTAGTGCATGTCCTAATATCATAGACATTTCTATGAGTTTAACTGCAACAGAGTACAGTGGCAAACAAGAATGTCTGCTACATGATAAGTGAAATATGCAGGTGGTTTCCCCATCAGACACATGAACTGGTTCCTCAAATGCCAGCAATGACTATTTAGCAAGATGCAACTGTCCATTACCTAGTAGGTTTTCCATATTCTATATCTGAAGCACGTTAGCATGACTGGAAGTGGGTTTATTCAAGTTCACAGGAGAGCTGGCCCTGTCTGTACTAAC